TGGTGCCAATGGCTGTCCCATTGCCAACCCACTTATTTGTGCGAAAGATTTCCCAGACCATCTGAAAATCGAGCAGTTTAGGCACTTCTTTAAGAGAGCCGTTAGCTGCTGGATGGACAAGCCATGCATATTTATTCTTCCTTCATGTTCAACAGGAAGTTCGAAGATGGCTTGCATTGCGAAGTCATTCGACACGTTAGTGTCCAGTGCGGTAAAGTCGAAAGGCTCCATCACGTACGCATCATTAGGAGACGCGTTGCGTAGACGTTCTAGGAACATTTGGGTGTTTGTGACGTGAGCTGGAATGTGGTTAAGCAACTGGGTAAGTATCAGGCTTAAAAACCAGGTTATTCGTTCCGTTGGCCCGTCTACACAGCTGATGGTCGGTCTAACCTTAAATGATGACGGTTTGGTTGACGCATGATCATCAGGTGATACCACTATGGTGCAGTCGTCAACCACATGCGACTATAGTCAGCTGTTCTAAACTTCCTCATTGGAAGTCACGAAAAAGCGGCGGGTTTTTCAAGAAGTTGTTGATTATGTAATTGCCGGAGAGTTCTTCGTCTTTTTGTAAGTGTTATTGAAGCGTTTGGCCTAGTAGATTGTATATCAGTGCACCCTTCCAGGCTCTGAAGAAGGCGATACTGCCGAAACGTCAGCTAGCGTTGTATTGTATTGTGTTTTTCTATGGAAGTGAATGTATGCTGTTTAAAAACCTCGCGATTGCTGAACAAGAAAGCGACACATTCATATTCCAATGCTGAGGTTAATAGAAAGTCGATCCTGGGAATTATTACAAGATGTAGGACTTGAGTTTTAATTAACAGTGGTTAATTTATGCAAATGTTGTTTCGTACTGAAAATTCTTAATCTGTATTCAGACCGTGCAGACTCAATGTTTATCGTCGTTGTACAGTCTGTTGCCTACAGCACGTGCTTCCACAGTCGACGTCGGTCGTTTGCTTAGGCATCTTTTAATTCCCGTTGCGAAAGCCCTAGTGCTTCAAGTTAGGGACAAAGCCGCTCATTCGGTGATAACGGCTACTATGAATGTGCGTAATTTTTGAGGCCGGGAATATTTAAAAGATTCCAACTTTGATTCTTAAAAATTTATAATTGAACGAATTTCAAGTAATGAAAATTTTTAGTTAACTATGAAAATTGGACTGTTTAGTTGTTTACGTAGTGTTGGGTTGCGCAGTAATAGTGATGCCGCTCATTATAAGCATGGTGCTGGTTTGAGCTCGCACCGAACTCACTAGCCTTTTCATCCCTCCGGAGCAGAAGGACGCTTACCAAACATGTCTGGGAGTTTACACTTCTGCAGTCCGTGTGGGAATGTTCTAGCCCGACTATCTCAGGATTTCGGAGAGAATTGACTCAAACATCATTCAACGAAAGGTGGATCCTCAAGCAGTAGCCGAACGCATGCACAAAAGTTGGAAGACCTTCGAGAATGATGGGTGGGAAGCAACAAATCATATGCTTCCAGTGCTGGTATCCGCACAGTAGATCTGAACGACCGATCGTGTAAAATAAGCAGTTCAGTAAGTAACAATTTTAGTTTTCGGATGTAAATACCGAGTTTTTGAGCTTGGAAGAAGGTGCCATTGTGTCAACTCCTACTGACCTTGTTTTTGAAAACCTAGAATCACCCAACAGTCACGTTGAGGCGGGAAACTCGTGGAGGTAGTTATGTAAACATTTGCCATCATTAAAATAGAATATTTGCAAATAAGTTGATGAACTCAGTAGGTTTTCTAACTCTTACTTTCGTTTCCCAGTTACTACAAGTTTTATATCATTTAGCATTGAAGACTATATTAATATCAGGAAAAATATTCTGATATATTTTAAGAGCTGTCTAACGAATGCACCACTGAGCTGGCGGACGGATCGTTCAGTATCACCTGAGATCGGTAAATTGACAGCGCAGTTCATCAGTGACATTTGGTTTGTTTCTTGATTTGTTGTGTGGTTTAGTAGTCTAGAGGCTTTCGTCTGATATGCTCGAGTTTTTCTTACTTAAGCTCTGGTGCTTTCAACAGTGACTGGTCAATCTGTTTTCGACGAGAGTTAGCGACAGCCTTGCTAGGTGTCATTCAGCTCACAACATCACTTTCAAGCTCTGCATTACGTGAAAGTAGGAATAAGGAGCCTGTGCCGTCAATACTGAACTCTAAAAGGTGTGATTCTGTCCAAGAAACTCTATTAAATTCAATTATTTCGTACCAAATTTGTACCGATGGTTCCACTAAAATGAGTATCGTGTCCTGCTGTGTTTACTTTATTTCACTTCAATCAGCTGCTTTGTGTGTCATCGTAGTCGTAGAACTATCAATGCTTTGGTAACTTTGAAACCATTTTAACTTATTAATATTTGGCTAAAAAGGTTGCGCAGTATTTTAGAACATTGCTCAGTGTTAAGGTTCTGGCTGTCTGTTGCGGCATTGGCACTTGTTCGTGATCGTTCATGGTTGGCGTTGAGTGAAAAGTGGAACGATTTGCAAACTTCTGGCCAGGAACCCATTACGCTTTGTGAGAATCACGACGATGGCTCTACTCCAGCACAAGTACTGTAATCATTGTGTTTATTCACATTTAGCACCGTTTTAAAATAGTACACGAAGAGGCTGAATTTTGTGGGCGACCTTAGTTCTGGTGGGTAAAATATCAGTATCTTGTGTTCATATTCATTTCTTCATTCATGTTACATGCAATATTTAGTAGACAAGTACAATTTTATCGAACTAACTCGAAGGAAGGGCGAACAAGAATATTATATGGGATGGCTTTATATATATATATGTATATAAATATGTATATATATAAATATATATGTATATATATATATATATATATATATATATGGTAGTAATGCAATGTAACATATAGAAATATTTGAGCTTAGAATGGCTCTGAGATTTATGGGATAGTACAATGTAAAATGTAAATCATAGCTGTGTGCAGTAAAATGTTTCCTGTCAGAAATGCCGAGATGTTTTATATCGCATTGATATGAATCCTCCTATCGGTTTTTACGAATACATTTAGTTAGAACTCAGAGTTTCTGACGTCTAACTATTTTAACACTTCCGCGTTCATGTGCATTTATTTAATTGGATAGGTTACAGGAAATTATTTAATACTCCAGCTTTGAATGAACATCCTATTTCAAGGTGAACTTTAGAATTTGAAATAGGAACGGTAGGAGTTAATATTTCTTTAGGTATAAGATCTGAGTTTTCCTTTCATGAATACCACGACGGAGCTCTAATTTTTCGGACGAATCGTCTTTCTTTCCATTTTTTGTTGTCGAGGTTCGTAATATGGAAAACAAAGCAATTCAATAATCGGAATTTCCTCCACTAGTACACACTAATGCTCTGGTTTCTTTATTAGTACCGACAACCAACGCGCTTTCGTTGCCTTTTTCAAGCTTCAAGAAATGTATATCGTCCCACTTTTCACGCAAAAGGAGTATGTTGTTCATATTGTTCACTTTGTTTATAATATTCCTGAAATCCACATTTGAGACTTTAGAAGTAATACTTCGGAAGGATCATTCTTATAAACTCCTAACGCAGAAACCCGAAGTTTCCTTCACAAATTTCCGAGGTCCTCAAGTAATTTTTTGGCATCTAATAACGGGATTTATTATTCTAAATTCTATTCTATTCTATTCTATTCTTTTCTTTATTCTAAATTTTATTCTAAATTTCTATTTCTATTTAATTTCTATTCTAAACGATAACGTTGATATGGAAATTAGTTCTTCTCAAGGATTTGGTTTTCCCATACCCCCAAAGCAACCAAGGCTTCAATCCATGCAACCTGTGCAAATGGATACCAAACTTGTTTGGGAACCTCCCTCCACTTCAAAAACCTAGAACGGCTCTAGCATGGCTATCTCAGTGTCGACTTTAAGATACAGAGAATTGATTCGAACTGTGCTCAATAACATTCATAAGCAAGATCAGAATTCTCAAGCAATAGTCGAGCTCACAAACTAATCCGAATATTTTCATTGATGATAGAAACCAAGGAAACGAACTGAATGCAAGAAATGCTGAAATCCACTCAATATATCTGAAAGCAGTTTATTTAAAAAGGAAATGGTGTAGCATAAGTGGCAAGGAACACAACTTTATTAGTCGAAATAGGAACCGTTAGAATCGGTGCATGTTTGCAATAAAGAAGCAAAGTTATTTGTTTTGCTACTCTACAGTTCTGAGGTCCAGGTAGCGACGATTACTTATAACCCGCTTTCAGACTAATGCCTTAGATTAGACTTAGATTATATTAGGTATTGTTAGAAAGTTATGCGCTGTAACTGCTGACAGCGCAAGAATATGAAAAGCGTTCGCGGGATTGAATGAAGAAAAGAGTGGAAAATTGTCTGTTGAAGTACCTCAAACTTGGGTGATTAAACCTTTATACGTGCTTACATATTATTTCTGTAACAATACAACGAGATTTGCAATGTATGTACAATAAATTACAAGTGATGTGGTTCAGTGGATTTTTTACCTAATAAAATGACTCAACAATGGTGTATGCACCAATGTAACGGCTCACAGCGCAAGAATGTGAAAAGCGTTCGCGGGAGTAAATAGGAGTAAAGGATTGCTTGATGGAGTACCTATGAGCAATGAAAGTATTTAACAAAACTGTTAGGCTAGCAGCACAAAGTAGTTACATGAGAATCGACGATAACATCAATGTATTAGTAATACAAGAGCTAAGGATTTTAGTCAATACCACTACAACCTAAGCAAAAGAATTTGTAAAGGAAGATTAAACGGGAGGGCAGTGATGATGGAATGGCAACGGCGATCTCCAAAGCGTCGCCAGAAGCCAAATGACGGTGCTAGTGGGCGTGGCTGCGTCCAAGCAAAAGCCGTTGTTCGTAGGGTCATAGAGTTAAGGCTCGGGTCGCGGGGTTTAGTCCCCAAGCAATGAGACGTACCCAATAGCATGCCTAGTGGTGTAACTGATGGCTACAAGATACTGTGTCTAGTGGCGTGCCCGATGGCTGTAATGTGATGTGGATGTAAAGCACGCACGCGGGCGTTGTGGCAAATGCAGTCTCTATCGACTTATAGAATGTGTTTGTTAAGTAGCAAGAGAATTCTCTTTCTGATAGAGGAAGTCTCTATAGTTCCACACCTGGACTCTGAGGCAGCAGTTTTCTAGCGGAATAGTGCTGGTGTTTTTACGTCCGTATGTATGTTGTTCAGTCCTTGTCATCAATTAACAGGATTGTCGTTGAACGCGTTCCTCCAGTTAATAGGTACGTTGATTTGGTGTTGGCGACGTTTTCGTGGGAGTTTTGCTTTAGCTCCTGTAGTTCATCCGGCTGGACTGATTGGAATAGCTGGACGGTGGCTGATGTTGTAGATTGAGTGGAGTTTCGTGGTCGAAGGTTATAGTGGTGACTCGACGATTCGCGTACTTCCGTTTTCTTCGGGATGATTTCTCGGTTTCTGTTCTTCCTCGACTTGTGGGGAACAAATACTTTGAGAGATTATTGGTACGTTGTTGTCACGTTATCGACGTCGGAGATTATAGCGTTGATTTGGAATTTGAAATGCGCTTTGCTGATCTTGAGTCGGCGACTACGTCTCTCCATTTGTGTCTATCTGTTTCTATGTTGGGCTGTCTTCCAGCTCAAGTGGAATTGGTAGATTAATTGGTCTCCTTATGATACGTCCGCTCGGTAATTAGAGTTGTGCTTCTTGAATTGCACCACTTTTTGACTGCTCTAAATCGATGACGAGCGCCATTTTCCACGTGTTTCGTGGCAAAACTCGGTCGTAAACTAGTACCACCGTGCCTATGGTTGGAGTTATTAAATGCCCGTAACCTGGAAATTAAGCGTCTTCGCGAAAGTATGGATTCTTGTGGCACCCCTTTTCGACGCTTTTCACCTTTTTAGAGTTTTTCAAATGATGGCCGGTTCTTGATTGGTGAAGCCTGAGTTCTGCTCGAACCTCTCGAGTTGTTTTTAGAGGGTAAGGTACTATCAACCATTTCAGACGGACGGGCCTTACTAGCTGCTTGTGGGGATCTATAACCTTTTTCGTCGTCATGGCTTACATCCCTGGTGGAAACTTTTCGAGCCATTTGTGCACTGTTTGTTCGAAAACGGTTCGCTGGACTTACGCTGTGACGAAGCTTCCTGGTGGAATCTCCAAGGTTGAACTCATGAAGCGAAGCGACGTAGTTTCCTTCTCTTGAGAATGGTATATTTCAACCAGCCTAAAATCTTTGTGAAGTATTAGAAAAGTAATACGCGCCAAATAGTTGAAAAAGAAGGCAGCTCAAAGTGGCATACGGCAGCATTGCAAACAAAAGATGCTTGTAACAAGGTCTATTCGTGTAATTCGTGAAAACGAAACGATCATTGTTTTTGCTTGAATCTAGTAAATCTCTGAAAAATTGTGGTGGAATATAGGAAATCCACACAGTTAGAGATGTCTTTATACAATTATTTACGTGTTAGTTGTACATACATATATACTTCTTCTAGAAAACTAAACACGTTGCTGATAACTTTTAGTTAGAAAATTGGCCGAGAGAAAGCATGCCCTTAGTGGTACTGTGCGCAACACATGAACACCCGGACGAGGTGATCGTGGTTCGATCTGGCATGAGCTCCAAACTTTGCAAATATCTTAGCATCATAGCGGTTTTACTAAACTCTTTAGAAAACATGAAATCTCTCGGAGTTTTCTTTATGATGATTTGTAACATATCATTTTATAGGTGTTCTGCTCCGATTGCGAATGTGCTCTGTGCCGTGAATGCTTCTCGGTGATGCATTTGCATAAACGAAATCGCTCACATCATGTTACCTCATTGCCTCCTCCACCAGCTCGATTGGAGGAAATTGACATCCACCAGGGATGTGCGCGGATGAGAATCGCGAATCTTCTAGTAAGTTACAATATATAAAACGATCATTTTATACAACATGGTATTCCTTGCAGGCGAATACTTGTGAAATGGGGCTTCGCGTATATTTTTGTATCTGGGGATTTATTTTTAATTTAGAAATTCAACGAAAGATGGCTTAACTCTAAAAAGTTTGTCAGAATTACGGTGCTAAGAGTTTTGCTGATATGTTATCTCGTAAACATTGGTTGCTGAGTATAATTTCTTTTAACCAATAATGGTATAATTGGAATAGAGTAGAACTGCTGTGCAGATACTTTTCCATGGCGAATCGTTGAATGGTTTGGTCGAGTTGCCGAGTGATCCCTTCCCGGGACTAACAACTACTGCGAGTGCTATCGGTGGACATTCGATGCAGTCGGTTTGCCGCTTCTGTGGGAACGTTTTGGATGCGCACAATCAAGTTGGTACATCATAACTATAATACCAGCAGTACTAATCGCAACAGCTTTTGAAAACTATGCACGCAGTGTTCATTTGAGAACATTGTTTAGAGAATTTGATTGCAACAACGGAAGAATAAGAATTACCGCGGGTTTTTTTCGCTATTACGAAAAGGAAAAATTGCTTCTAGGATCGACTTTCTATTAACCTCGGCATTGGAGTATGAATGCGTCGTTTTCTTGTTCAGCAATCGCGAGGTTTTTAAACAGCATACATTTACTTCCATAGAAAAACAATACAATACAACACTAGCTGACGTTTCGGCAGTATCGTCTTCTTCAGAGCCTGGAAGGGTATACTGATATACAATCTACTAGGCCAAACGCTTGAATAACACTTACAAAAGACGAAAAACTCTTTGGTAATTACATGGTCAACAACTTCTCGAAAAACTCACATCTTTTTACGCGACCTCGAGGAAGATTAGAACAGCTGATCATAATCGCATATGGTTGATGACTGCACCATCCCACATCAGAAATTGGTACGAACATACGCGGTCAGGCCGTGTATGACCTCTGGGCATTCATCCCTGCTATTCATTGTAGGGTTTTTGGCGTTTATCGAAAAAGCCTCAAGAAGTTTTCGCGCTGGTGTTTTAGTCTCCTGTGCAAGGATATTGACTTTTACTTCAAAATCGTCTCCGTTATACTTTTGTATCTTATGCGTGCCTAGTGGGATACTTAGTCCCAGTTTTCGTTTTCGTTGATCATGTAATTACCATAGTTTTTCGTCTTTTTGTAAGTGTTATTGAAGCATTTGGTCTAGTAGACTGTATATCAGTATACACTTCCAGGCTCTGAAGAAGGCGATAATGCCGAAACGTCAGCTACTGTTGTATTGTATTGTGTCTCTCTATGGAAGTAAATGTATGCTGTTTAACAACCTCGCGATTGCTGAACAGGAAAACGGCGCAGGAAAAATTGCTTTAAATTATGTGTTAGTACGATAGGTACCTCTTTTGCAGCTGGTCGGCTTTTGCTCTCATCCAGACTGTGTGCATTATTCTATAACAGCCTGTCGTCGTACTCTGTCGTGTGGTCATTTATGTGGAGGCATTGCTGGAGAGAAAGAGTGTCTTCCATGTCTTGTTTGTCACGTTGAAGGTAGATTGTTAATATGTCCTAAGATATCTGAAAAACTCTCCCAGCGGTCTATTGCCTGATCGTGGCTGGGAGGTGTTCTCGAATGTCGGGTTACAATGTACAGCAGGTGATTCATTTCCTGGCATGGTATCCCAAGCGCAGAAAGAGTCCGACGTTTCCATTAGAAAGCCCAGCCAAGAGTAAAACAATACGAGGATCAATCACTGTCCTGGTATCAAAGTCGTATGTTGGCAAATCGTCCTCTGATCCAGAAGGGCGACGCCTGCCTGTGGTGGTCACGAGATGGGGCAGACTTTGGCTAGGCTGACCTCGGAACTCCTGGAAACCACAGTGGCTAAACCAGCAAAAGACCGATAAAAATGAAAGCTATGTTTGGGCGGTGTGGCGCATTGGTCGGAGGCGCCCTGCAACACACACGTGGAGTTGCTCTCAGCGCCCATGGTCCACCACGCCTTCTATCCCTCTGGGTTGGCAAAATGGTACCAGACTTTTCTGGGAGGATAGCAGCACTTGCTCGATACATCGGTAGGCCACCGCGAGTCATTGTAAAGGCCATATATGCATTCAGTCACCTCCAAACGATGCGTAGTGAAGTTGAATGCATGGTGCAGGGATTTATCAACTCTGAGAGCTTTATCCTTCACGCTTTTTATGTTGGGGGCCGCACACTCAATGATGACGGGCAGCCCAAGTGTCCAAGTAAGTATCTGAAAACGTTTTCGTAGAATTTACTCATACTTGAAGCAAAATTTGTCCAGGTTCATGTTTATTAACCAATATATCTGATCCACAGTAGTAATATCCCACAGTGATCTAATAACAGATCTTTTTTCGCATTTTAATATTGGAACTTTGTCATTTTTGGCGTATAGGGACTGCTCAAGACGGTAACGACGTCTGTGTCATATGCTTTACGGACCGTCTTTGTGCTGCGCCATGCATTCGTCTTGAATGCGGTCATCTGCTCCACTACCATTGTGTTCGTGCTGTACTTGAAAAGCGGTGGCCAGGACCAAGAATTCAATTTCGTTTCATGAATTGTCCTCTCTGTAACATTCAAGTAAGTCTGTTTCTATGTGCCTTTATACTTTGCCATCCCAATGGTTTACCAGACACTAGTCTTGAATGAGTCATCCAGCGTATAGAACTACGGTGTACTATAAAAAAAAAAGTTTCCCAGTTCCTGGAAGGAAGTGAATATCGTAGACTTGAAGCGCTTTTCGACTGAATAATCGAGCGTATGTTAGCTTATCAAAGTGGAAAATTCATTACTTTTCAAAAGTTGTGTTCTTGTGATAATGCTATGACATCTGATAAAGCATATGGTGAAACAAAAAACCGTTTAGAAGATACTGGTATGATCACAATCTTAACTCTTTTATTTACTGCCTTTTTCTTCTTAATGGAAGGGTATGTTGTGAAATATAACTCGTATGAAGTGCTGAAATATTTGCAAAACTCCGGACCACAGGTGTATGCAGTGGGGAACGAACACGCGCTGCTCCCCGGTAAGGACAACAGCGCGTGTTCGTTCCCCACTGCATACACCTGTGGTCCGGAGTTTTGCAAATATCTCAGCACTTCATACGAGATACTGGTATGGTTGTGTTTTCATATAAGTAAGGAGTCTGGCCACTAAATGCCCATGTATATCGACTCTCATGGAGGTGGAACCTATACACAGACAGTATTTGGGTTTGCTGATCATAGGCATGTGTTGAGAAACTCATTATCGCTAGTTTTGGTCAGTTTGCGTATCTATGGCAACACTACTTGGATTGTTCTCCATTATCTTAGCTCTCAATGTTAAGATGTTTGTTTGTCTTTCGCGCTAATCAGCTTAGGCTTGCAATGCGTAATCAGAGAGTTGTTACCTTCCACTGGATGTTTATGTATTCTGTAATCATGAAAAATTGTCCTCACCACAGCGTCTTCCATTTAATTGGTACCTGGCTGGTTTCGTAAACTTTTGTCCCTACTCCTAGAAATTTTCGACGCTTATCTATCCATGCTACGAATAATTGCTAAACCATTAACATGGATAGTAATCTAAGTTCAACATGTATTATTTTTTCTTTTCCACAAAGTCTTTAATAAGAGTAGTACTATGCATTCAGAGGCTACTGAGAGTTTTTTCAACCCTCTTCAATCTGACTATTTTAGATGTCTCATCCTGGCCTCATGGACTTGCTTGAACCACTATTCATGTTAAAAGCGGATGTTGCATCAAAAGCGAACATGCGTTTAAAATTCGATGGACTCCTCAATTGTACGGCTCTTACTGATCCACAGAGGTATAGTATTTCATATTTTTATTTGTCCTGTACTGGGTATGTTTTTACAATACCTTATTTGGTGTTATCGATTATTACAGACTGGAATGCTAACCACAAAGTTGTTGTTTCGATAATCTATTTTCAGCGAATTTTTCAATCGTCCAGAAGAGTATGCCATGGATCGTTACATGTACGTACTTTGCAATATTTGCCAGAAGGCATACTTCGGTGGAGAGAGTCGCTGTCAAATGGTGAGGTTTCATCTTTTACTTCGGTGTTATTGTAAGATGGTAACGAAAAGGCAAGTCGGTGATACTGTTGCCTCCTTTTCTGTTGTCAAGAAGTATACTTTTAAGGCTTGTCTTGTTCCATCTGCTCTGGTCGAGTCATTTTCCTTCCTAACAGAACAAAGTAGAGTTTTGAAAAACAACATGGTTTAGCAACATTTGCTTATTCACACACCAAAGTAGGCTTAGTGAAGAGAGTCTTCCAGATAAGGGTATAGCTAGTTGAAATTAAATCAAAATGGGAGGGGTAACACCAGAAAAACCAATCTCTACACTTAGATTTACAAAAAAACCCCTTTTTTCGAAAATGTTCATTGACCCGTAATTTGATTGACGATTTATGAATGTGTCGTTTTTTTGTTCAGCAATCGCGAGGTTTTTAAACGGCATACATTTACTTCCATAGAAAAACAATACAATACAACACCAGCTGACGTTTCGGCAGTATCGTCTTATTCAGAGCCTGGAAGGGTATACTGATATACAATCTGCTAGGCCAAACGCTTCAATAACACTTACAAAAAAAGAAAAACCCCTCGGTAATTGCATGATCAACAACTTCTCGAAAAAACCCACCGCCTTTCGTGACTTCCAATGAGAAAGGTTAGAACAGCTGATTATAGTCGCATATGGTTGACGACTGCACCATCCCACATCAAAAATGCGAACATACGGGATCAGGTC